TTGCTCGAGCAAAACATTGCTTATCCAGGAAGCAATTAGTCTCCTGGTGTTGGCTAATAAGAAGGTTGATGAGGGCTGTACTGATAACATTGGTACGGATGGCGAAGATTGCGTTAGTGTCGTAAGTGCTATCACGGCGCAAGCCAGACATCTACCTGTGCAACCCACAGTTAAACGTTCTCCCCCGAAACGATCAGTGAGTGACACGTCATTAGACGTTGGTGGCCATATTGCTACAGCAGCAACCGGTGACCCAGATAAAACAATTACTGTCCCGAGTTGTTCTAATGTAGACGTTTCGACTGATGGAAAATGGATGACGCGAAAACGCAGAAGAGTAGGAAAGATAGCTAAAACTAATGACTGTTTACTTGGTAAGTCCTTGGTGGACTCTCAGACCAATCCGCCAAAGTCTCATAGTAAAGCTTCGTCTGACATTGTTGTGAGTCATTCGCTTGACTCCCAGGACTCTGTTAAAATAAAAACTAATCGTAAGCTACCAGTAGTTAAAATACAGGATCTAACGTCACGGTCGAAAGCTGTGAACACAGTTTCAAAAGAAGCTAAACCCATCCCTAGTTTAATTATTTGGAATCTAGAGGAGTCGAAAGACAACGACCCTGCTAAAAGACACGCACATGACCTACAGTTAGTGGAGTCTGTGGTAAGGAATGTACTACCTGAAGAGGTTTCAGGGGTACATATTACAAAAGTAATACGACTTGGTAAATGGGTTGGAGGCGAGACCCAACCAAGAAGGATCCTGAAGCTGGTTCTCGGGAGTTTCGAAGAAAGAGACATATTATTGAAAAGCGCACCAAAAACTCGTGCCTCAAATATCCGTATTCGACCAGATTGGCCGCTTGAGGATCGAATCAAGTGGAAGAATGCTCTTACGGAGTTGAGGACTCGCAAATTAAATGGCGAAAATAACCTTACCATTAAGGGTTTTCGGGTAGTCAGGTCTTGGAAGCCAATGCTTCCGAGGCCTGTATGGGTAGAACGATTGATTTCCAAAACACCTTAAGTGTGTGCTACACGAACGCTCGTAGTCTTAGAAATAAAACGTCCGAGCTAAGTCTGATGGTGCAAGAATTATGTCCCGATATAATCGTTGTTACAGAAACTTGGTTCACCGTTGATATAGACTGTTCTCCTTTCATTGCTGGTTATATCTGTATCAGAAGTGATAGAGTTTCAAGTCGCAAGGGGGAGGTATAATATTTTACGTTAGGGATCACTTTCGTATACAATCAACCATATCGGAGGCTCATATCAGTGGCACATGTGAGGTTGCATGTTGTAAGATTAAATCTAGAAATGGGTTAGTGACTATAGGGGGAATATACCGTAGTCCGTCTTGTCTGGCTGACGACTTTATCCTAAGACACATCTGTTCTTGGAGTATGGCAGAATGTTGTCTCATCATTGGGGACTTCAACGCACCGCATATCAACTGGATAGAGCTTACAGCTCCAGGTAGTGGTTTCGATAGCGACCTTTTATCTACCGTTATTCAGTGTGCACTTGTACAATGTATCACAAAACCGACACATATTGATTTGCATCATGTTCCGTCACTGCTGGACCTCGCCCTCACCCACCACTCTGAGGATGTCTTTGATATCCAGCACCTTCCTCCACTAGTGAACAGTGATCACGTTGTAATTCACTTTAAGTTTAGGACACATGGTATACAATTCGTATCTGCTCCACCCCGTCCCAATATCTGGCGAGCTAATATTCCGGAAATCAGAAACCGTGCTATCTCGACCGATTGGTCGGTCGACGCGGATGGATTGATCGAAGATGAATGGAATAAGTTTAAGGCTACATTCGAGTCCGTAACGTCGCCGTTTATCCCATGGTCAGCACGTAAGCTATCACATTGCCCTCCATGGATTAATAAGGAAACCCGGAAGCTGTTAAAGCGTAGGAAACATTTCTGGGACTTATTCTTGTTGACAGGTCATGCACCATTTAAGCGTGAGTATCAAAAATACCGTAATATCTGTAAGAAAACCATAGCGAAATCCCGTACCACTTACGAACGACAGTTAGTATATGATAGCCGTACTTGTCCGAAACGATTGTTTTCGTATGTTAAACGGCAAATGAAACGTAGTGATGGTATTCCCCCGTTGCTGTTACACGAAAATTCAGAATTACTAGCTGAATCAGATCGAGCAAAAGCTGAGACTTTTTCAGATTATTTTAGCGAAGTCTTCTCTACGTTTATTGTAACAAATACTTGTCCCACTCACACCGAGATACCAACCATTGAATCCGTACAGGTGACTGAGGAAACTGTCCTTCCGTTGATAACTAACCTCAAACCTGGTAAGATACCGGGCCCTGACGGGTTACATCCACGGTTGCTGTCATCTCTTGCGGACATTATTTCAAAACCGCTTGCGACACTCTTCAACATGTCCCTCTCACTCGCCCAACTCCCTAGAGATTGGAAGGACGCTATAGTTAGTCCTATATTTAAGGACGGTCAGCGACAGATAGTATCTAACTACCGGCCTGTCAGTCTAACTAGCATAGTCGTTAAGTTACTCGAAAAGATAATTCGGGTTAGGTTGCTAAGCCACATAGATTTACACAATCTGTTAGCTCCTGAGCAACACGGATTTCGTAACAAGCGTTCATGCTTGACTAACTTGCTTATTGCGAGGGAGGATTGGACAGCAGCCCTAGATCACGGTCTGTCTGTCGACGTGATATTCATAGATTTTAGCAAAGCGTTTGACAAGGTTTCACACGTAGGTCTTATGCAGAAGCTCACGAGCTTCGGAATAATAGGTACTGTACATGAGTGGATAGGAAATTTCTTATGTGACCGCAGACAGAGAGTTAGGGTCAATGGAACGCTATCCGATTGGAAGCCGGTCAAAAGTGGTGTACCCCAAGGCACCATCTTAGGCCCTCTGCTCTTCCTTCTCTACGTTAATGAGTTACCACTGTTACTTAGGTCGTCGACATTATTGTTTGCAGATGATGTAAAAATCTGGAGAACAATAAAAAGTGGGCTGATTTAGACGATTTAGTTAGATGGGCTCGAGAGTGGGGCTTAGAAATCAATGCTAGGAAGAGTGTACTAATGCACGTCGGTCACGGTAATAGTTACCGTTACACTATTGAGGGTAAACCTCTTCCATGCGTTCAAGAGCATAAGGACTTAGGAGTAATATTAAGTCATGACTTAAAAACAACTGCGCATTGCAAAGCAGCCGCTGTCAAAGGTTTTCGTGCGTTATGGTCACTTCGCCGAGCGTTCAAATCTTTTGACGAGGAAACGTTTCGAATTTTATATCCCATATATGTTAGACCACATTTAGAGTACTGTATCCAAGCAGCTAGCCCGTGTCTAGTAAAGGATACTAACTCCCTTGAGCGTGTCCAGCGTGTGGGAACGAAATTAGTGAAGGGTCTTTCTAGACTCCCTTACGATGAGCGCTTAAAACGCCTAAATCTTTTCCCCTTGTCGTATCGTAGGACACGAGGTGACCTTATACTGGCATTTCGTATCTTTAATTATGATTTGGGTGTTAATATGTCTTATCTTTTTGCTCCGCCCAGCACTAATAATCTCCGAGGTCATAGCAAGAAGGTTCATAAACCACGATCTAATAAACTTAAAGTGGGATCCCGTTTTTCTCATCGAGTAGTCAATCATTGGAACGCCTTACCCGAACAAGTGGTATCAGCCCCATCAGTGAATACTTTCAAGGAAAAGCTGGACCTTCACTGGAAAGCAATGTGTCAGGATTAACACAGGTTCATCAACCTACTATCATTATTACTGAAGACTGAAATACCTAACAATGGAGAAGGCGCGAACAATGAATTGAATGAACTGGAGTTGATCGAGTGGCATGGCTCGGCCATGCAGGCGTGGTCTCTGCTGAATGTTACCTTATATCTTCTATTCATAGTAAATATATTGTTCTTCCTCTAGCCTAACCTTGTTCTACATCATGTATTGGTAATTGATATGATACAGTGAGTTGGTGTAGTCGATGGTGTGACTTCCACGTAAGATCTTATAGATTAGGCAGTTATATCATGACAAATCTACAAATTTAGGATTAGGTCTATTATTAGAGCAGTACTAATATCATACTAGACCTAATTCTACATTGGTGAGCCCAACTAGAGAAACGCAACCTATTATTGTTAATCCTTATTTCCACCTTAACCTTATCAATCGGTTTTTATTTGTGTAAACCCATTATTCTAATAGTCCTTTGATTAATGGTCACATATATTATCGTAATGTTATATCAATTAGTTCTCATAACTTACTAGCTCAATCAATAATAAAAGTTGATCGTCTATATCAACTAATTAGCTTTGGTGGTTCGTTAACAGGCTTTAATAGCATTTACATGCTTCAGCGACATAGACTTGTTCAAACATCAAGCTCTAGCAAATATGACCTGTAAATAGCGTAAATATACATTGACTAACAATACAATCAAGGACTAAATACTTATCGGGATCTAATTATCAGTGTTCCTTCACCTAACACCTCATCCTGTTTTAAACTATGCACTATCCTGTAATATCTTTCTTCTGACCACTGCCTGCCTAATTTCATATTTGCGAGTTCCATCGCCAAACAACAAGGATGACAATTCTCCAAAAAACATACGGTGAGTTTCAGCTATAGATTTTCTGCAAGGTTTGTAACTGTTTTTCACGTGGTATTATTTTATTTTCCTACTAGTTTTTCTCTTTAATTTAACACTTAATAGCGATAAATAATTCGTCACTGATAGGGTTCTATCAATTTGACACCTTATTTAGGAACTCAACGTCATAAATTAATCTTGCTAATTCTCACGCTATCTCTATCACCAATTAACGTTAATATATTTACTCTTAACTAATACTGGGTCTGATCCTACCATAAAACTTCACACGTTCACTAAGTTAAATTACAACTATCGCTGTCCACCTAATTAAACTTTGTATTTACATTACTTCCGATAATGACCAGGCCATCTAAAAAACATATAATCTCTCCTGATGCCTATAGCACCTGCAAAAGATCTAAATCAGTCACTAAAGCGAATAATGTGAAACCTTATAAACACACTGATCAGTCTGCATCCTACTCTGATCTTCCCTCAGCCACACTAAACGTGCACCGTTTACTTGGACAAGACATATCACTACCTTGCATCTCGCTTGTCGATATAAATAAGAGCAGTCACATACCGTTAGAGTCGACATCATTTGTCAGTCCAAACAAAAACACCACATGTTGTGAGCAGTATTTAGACAGTGCTGTTGATCCCAAACACCCAGCAATCTCACAATCGGCCATCCTGAGTAGCGGCCCACGGAGTACATGTAAGCCTGCCTACAATAGCCAGCCCGGTGATGTAGATCTTGACTACTCACCCAGACATATACCCCACCCCCCAACTAAGTGTGCACAAAGTGAACATCCGCTAGACACCTGCAACAGGCCTGTATGTAACCATATCGACCTTAGAAACTTTGATATAAACTCCGATAATCTCACCACTGGTAGACCTAAAAGCAGCCAAACAGAACTTAGCCTCACCCAAACTATTCAAGACCTATTACCTTACAAATATTTAATCAGTGTTCCAGAAAATCCCGATCTGGAAATTATAAAAAACACTGAAAAAGTAATTGACCATATATCATCTGAAGTGTTGAAAAGACTTCAGTGTATGCAGAATGTTATTGTGTATAATATACCTGATAGTACGAACATAAAGATTGCTAAAAATACTCTGCTACAAGAATGTGGATTGTCGCAATCTTGGTGTGTAACAAGAAGATTACGTAAGGCACACACTAAAGCCTCCTGTCCCATTCTATTTCAGTTTGGTAGCACCACTGAAGCTAATCACCTCCTCAATAGTCAGTCATTACTGAGGCGTATTCCAACATTTAAAAAGATTAGGATCATTCATGACAGGACCGCTATCCAGCGTCGAATCTGCAATGGAACACAAACTGATCAACCCAGCTTACGTAGCCGTGGCAGCTACAGCTCTTGTCACTGCACAAACCCTAAAATATCATACACTGCCCCCCCAAAAAACGGAGGCACGTCGGACACTGCTATTAGTCCTAAGGACAAGACCGCACATAAAGCAGCTACAACCACTCACCCTCAGCCCAGACACTCAGCTACCCCAAAATGCCAAACCACTTATGCCTCAATAGCGTCCAAGTATTACCCTAGCGGCCCTTATAAAATGCCTAAAAATGATCCTCCCAGGGATCGCGCTAACAGCTACAGACCCGCAGACACCGCTGTGCGAAATAATACCAAACTCTCCGTAAAAACCCACCAATACTCCAGCACCCCTAACCCAAAACATGCACCTTCTCATAGTAATAGAATGCCCTACAACAAACATAGAGAACTGGCAACACCCACTCATCCTAATGTGAAACGACACTCGACAAGAACCACACCCACACGTGATACCCATAAGTCATATGGTGTCAACCTTGTAAGCCCCATGAACCAACACAAAACTATACACAACAGAAACACCTCTCCTGGCAACAATAACAGGCATTCCTTCATTCCCTTACCAGAAACATACAACCTCCCCAACTGACCACAATAGGACTAAAATTGCCCACCGCACACGAGGAAGCCATAACGCTGGCCTACTTGGGAACCCACCTACAGATTCTAGGTACTATCCAAGTCAAGCCACCCAATACAACGGTTTAGTCCCCCCTAATTCGACATGCACACTATCTCATCCTTTTTTATCTCTCTCCCCCTCAACATTACTGCTATGGGGTCTCCAAATGTTGAGGGCGACAATCCCACTATTCTGAAACCATCTATATACTCCGATTTAATGGGGAGTAGCACATCCTACTCAACTTCGATAACTGTCTCTAGTCTTGAAAACTCCTTGACTGAACCCCCTGATCATTCCCCGGACACATTACCTAATCATTCGACTCTACCTTCCACTCTTAGACATACTTCTTTCACCAAAACCACACCCGACTACCCTTCTTGCATTAACCCTAATGGTAATAAACTAAACACTCATCAATATGGAGTCAACGCTCCCAATTCTTCCTTTTCTCATGGCAAAACAGACAAACCACTCGGTTTACATCATACCCTTCTACTAGACAAACAGTCACCGTACCTGACACTTATGTTAATCAACGCTCGATCTGTACAAAGTAAGATGACTTACCTACGCACCCTATTGCTTTTAAACAACCCCTCACTTGTTTTGATAACGGAAAGTTGGCTGTCCTCCGATACCACAGACACATTTCTACAAATAGACACCTATGAGCTCTTCCGCTGTGATCGAGTCACCAAGAAGGGTGGTGGTTGTCTCGTTTATGTATCAAAAAATTTGAGAGCGGAAACCTATAGCGACCACGTCCTCAGCAAACTTCCTGAATCGATATGGCTTACTGTGCACACTCATGAATGTAAAATACTAATCGGATGCATATATCGAGCTCCTAACACTCCTAGTTCAACTGACACTATTATAAGTGAGTCATTTGCTCAGGCTGCCTCGCTTGACTTCACATACAAAATTGTATGTGGTGATTTCAACCTTCCCACCATCAACTGGAAGACACATTCTGGCCCATTGTGCTTTGAAAGCATACTTAGGTCCTTAGACATACACGGCTGGCAACAACATGTACACCTGCCTACACGAAATCACAACATTCTTGACTTGATATTCTGTCATAGTGTCACACCAACATCAATGGTGGTTAGCGAAAAGTTTCACAACAGCGATCATAAAATAGTCCTCTGCACCCTTCCGATTCTTGCCATATGCAACAAATTAAAGACATTAAAAACGCGATTCCAATATAGAGACTATGCAAACGCTGACTGGGAAAACTTTCGATTTCTAATAAAGCACTCTGACTGGGGCAGTTTCTTTACCAGTAATAACCTCTTAGAAACATTAGAAATATTCAATATCACCACCAAATCTGCACTAGACACCACTATACCCTCTAAAATTGGTTTTAAAACAGTTACTCCCTATATAAACCAAAAGACTAGGTCTAAACTGAGAAAACTGAAAAGGATGTACTATATATCAAAAGACTTCAGTGCCCTGCACCAGATATACTCTGTGCTTGACGGAGTACAAAGTCAACACAACAAGCATAAACAGTTAGAGGAACGTACTGCGCTCGCTGCTGCATCTAAAGCCCAAGCCCTATGTCGTCTCCTCACGAAACGCATAAGAAAGAACACAGACAACAACATTCACTCCTTACTGCACGATGGAGTAACGTATAATGACCAAACCGTCATATGTGAACTATTAAGTGAATGGTTTTCTCACAATGGGAATACATCTGATGCCCCAGATATCGACATAAAGTGCACCGGCAAAAACTATCTTAGTACCATAAACTTCGACATTAGGAGTATACATACCGCCATTAAAACCCTTAAGCCAAATGCGAGTTCTGGTGCCGATGACATCCCTTCAATCGTTTATAAAATGTCAGGGCCGGACATACAGACGCTACTACTCAAAATATACACATTATCTTTAGAGACAGGTACATATCCGGAAACCTGGAAGGTAACGTATGTTCTTCCCAAACACAAATCCGGACCGAGAAACCTGGTAGAAAACTACAGACCTATAAATATCACTCCAGTCATATCACGCATAATGGAAAAAGTGATACAAAATCAACTATCTGATCACCTACTCAAGGAAGATCTAATAGACCCGTCACAACACGGCTTCATTAGAACAAGGTCGTGCAGTACATGCCTGATAGACTTCTTTAACGAGGTTACTCGTATGCGTGACCAGAAGAAACTAGTTATTATACTATACTTCGATATTAAGAAAGCCTTTGATAAAGTACCTCATAATCTTCTAATCAACAGACTGAAGTCAGTTGGAATTATAAATCCCCTTTTGCAATGGATCAAGTCTTTTCTTACGAACAGATATCAAATAACCAAGATTAACTCTAATACATCTACACCTCGACCGATAACCAGTGGTGTTGTGCAGGGTAGTGTCTTGGGTCCATTGCTCTTTATAATCTACATCAACAATATATGCAGGTGTTTCAGCACAGGTAAGACCTACCTCTATGCCGATGACTTAAAAGTCATCTATAAAACTGACATTTGCGATTTACGCAGTACTATGCAAACAATCCAACATGAACTCAACATGGTAGATGACTGGTGCAAACGCTGGAGGTTAGAGCTCAACATAGAGAAATGCGGCTGGTTATGTATAGGAGACACGTCTCTTAAAATGAAACTAACAATTAGCGATCACACACTCCCCAGACTGGCATCAGTAACTGACCTAGGGGTACATTACTCACACAGTCTTAATTTCTCTGAACACATCTCAGCCAAAGCATCCAAAATGCGGAAATTGCTTGGCTTCATTCTCCGTAATTTCTATCAAAATGAATCTAAAATCCTTCTTTACAAAGTTTGTGTAAGACCTATCGTTGAATACTGCTCGTTTTTATTTTCCAACCTACGTCTATCTGATATACTAAAGGTGGAAGGAATACAACGAGACTTCACCCGCAAAGTACTTAAGACTGACTCGGTCATTGACTACAGTTCTCGATGCCAAATCTTAGGAATAGCACCCCTTTGGGAGAGAAGGCTTAGGTCTAATTTGATTCTCTACTTCAAACTACTCAAAAACCTTACTTACTCAACATGTCAGATAATTCTTGCCCGAGATTCACATGAATACGAACTTCGAAACAAAGTATCTACGGTCAAAGTTGAGAAATACAGATCAAAAACTCGGGAAAACTTCTTCCTCACCAAGTATGCAATAATATGGAACAGTCTTCCTTCCGAGACTCGCATGGCAGATGAACTACATACGTTTGTGAAACTGCTTGATCAAGCCCTCACTCGCACTGATCTTGCACGTACGAACACATCTGCACCCCACTCAGACATCATAGGCTCTCTCCATGTCTAGACCAAAATGGACTTCAAGTTCAGTTTGCCTTATTTTTCCTACTTTGCAGTTGTATTAATTACTTTTTCCACCCCATTTCTTCACTTGAAGTAGACAGGTAACTCACTGGACCTATCATTACTGTCAAACTAAACTCGGTCGATAAGGGACCATCACTACCACCCTAAAAAGTCAAGAGGACCCGACAATCGGCTGCCTACTACCAGTGGTCTTGCATCTATGGAACCTGTTACCAATCAACTGGTTAAGACAACAGAAAATAACATCAGCACCAAGTTACTGTGAGTTCCTTCCTGTTTATCCTATATTAACTTTTTACTCTTCTGTACACTATGTTGACTAGCAATTAATATTATTTCTCCACTCGTTCCCTTATCCACAACTCATATACTTCTATACTTTTTCCGCCTGCTTAAATAAACAACTATCCTACAATATACCCTTCTTAACGCTTATACTCTGTTTGGCAAACTATACTTTATACTATAGTCAACAGAGGCACTGCATCGATGCTTTACCCACAGTCCACAGCTTGTAACTGCCTGATAAGCTTGTAAAATGGTACTTATAGAAATAGTGCTTTCCAACAAGTTGTGAAACAGAGGATTGTGTGAGGTATGACGTATATACAAAAATAAGCTTAAATGAGCCTAACATCACAAAAGGAGGGAGGGTGGAGTTACTGACCAGCAAGCATTGATGGTGAGGGCGATAACTTCAATCCACCCGTGTTTGTGGGGACAGAACATTTTGTATGTATCAGGCTCTTTATAATTGAGAATAAGACAGTCAATCTAAGATATAGATTGTCTTCCTACGCTCACCACTCAGACTCATGTTTCCAATAATATGCTGGATTAGCTATTCTACTAAGACAACCTATAACATGCTAACTCGGACTTTTACACTAGGATTGCGTGGCTGACATCGGATGGACAAAAAAAGAAAAGAAAAAAGACAATAAAAGATATAGTCACTAGTATTCTTAACACTTCACCCTCTATATATACACCCTTCTAATAAACCGCTTCCCTTGTACCAACCTTGACTTCCCTTCCTTCATGTGAGCTTACTCCAACTTGTTAAACATCACTACTCGTTGTTCTTTATTAGTACATTCTCTAATATGGAGCCTCTGACTTCACTTCACTCTAACAAGACATAATATGAATTTATTCTAATTTATTATACCTCTGTCCGTTCTACTACACAATGTTAAGCAACCTTTGGCGTTCATATCCAAGTGCCTTGCTGCTCCTCTGTTTCTTTTTTTTTTCTCCTTCAGAATCTTGCTCTGAGAGCACAGCTATGAAACTTCTGACGTTTGGAGCAAACTTAACGTACGCGTCCTCTCAAGGTCATAGTTTACAGCAAGCGCTCTACGATTTCACCTTATAACAACTATAAACTTAATAAGTTGGGAAGCATTTTGCGAACCAACAAATGTTGTAATTTATAGATCATGCCTGTAAAAACGGTGTGTACCTGCACATGCAGAAATATATTATTATTATTATAAGGTCATTTTAGATAACTCGTTCAATGGCGACCACACAAGTATCTGGATTCATTCAATTGTTCTGATCCGAGCGAGTGGCAAAAACGTCAACAGCATC